GATCTGTACATTTTCAACCACCTTCACCAAAATGACATTTGCACTGCACATTCACAACTACTGCAGAATATATGTGCTTGTAAATGTGCATGGGATTCACAAAGCAGACCACATGCTGGACTATAAAAAGATCCTAAGTAGATTCGAAAGGACTAAAATGTTACAGAATACAATTTTTTGTGCAGAACAAATTAAATTATCGATCAGTCACAATAAGACAGAGAAGTACCAAATATTTGGAAAAATTTGCTAATAATCCATGCGTTAATGAAGAAATCATGGAAGAAATTAGAAAATATGTTGAACTAAATGGTAATTAAAACACAATACAATATTATTTTGGGGGATGCTGCTAAAACATTATTCAGATTGAAATTTAAACCTTTAAAAGACAGGTCTCAGAAAAAAAGAAAGGTCTCAAAGCACTAATGGCCCACCTTTAAGAAAAGTGATAATAATATTGCTCCAAAATCAGGTAGAAGGAAAGTATAAACAGAGAAATTAAACAAACAAACAAACAAACAAACAAACAAAGTAGCACATAGAGAAAACAACAAAACCCAAAGCTGGTTCTCAGACAAGAGCGATAAAACTAACGCAGCCCTCCGAGCCGGCACGACCAGCAGAAAGAAGAGCAAGCGGAGGAGCGGGAGCGCTGCTGCAGACTTGGGTGACCTTGAGAGAAAAAGGGAATGTTATGAACAGCTTCATGACAGAAACCTTATCAACTCAGATGACATACACAAATTCCCTGAAGAATACAAAAACAAGAAAATAATCAGAAAAGTTCAATATTTTACAAATACATTAAGCCTGTAATTACAAGCTTTCCCACAAAAACATAAAAGGTAAGCTCTACAGATTAGAATATTTGTCTTATAAAAGATTCCCAACATATACAGAAAACACTGTTATATTGAGTTGGCCAAAAAGTCTGTATTTTTTCCGTCAAGTAAAAGACACATTTTTCATTTTCACCAATAACTGTGTTGATCTGGATATTCTGCGTATGTTGGCTGTCTCCCGCGTCCCACGCGGTAGAATGCTGATTGTCCTCAACTGATTCGGCGACTTGACCGCTGTCAACTCCGACTGGTCTGCCTGACCGTGGAGCATCGCCCAGCGAGCAGTGTCCAGCACGGAACGTCGCAGACCGCTTCTGACACGTTCAGAGCACCTTCTCCATACACGGCACAGACCTTTTTTTTTGCATTTCAGTTGCGTTTTTATCTTTCTTGAAATAATAAGGCATGATATGCGGAAAATGTTGCATATTTTCTTGCAGTTTCAGTATCAAAATGACTACACAAAAATTCAACAATACTGATGAGTTTTTTTGACGCACACTTGTATGACAGCTGTGACAATACAATCCAACAAAACTGTTCGGAATGAAGGTAAAAACAACTAAGTGCTACCAGAGCCATCTTGTGAAAAAAGCCAAATGAACTTTTTGGACAACCCAATAAACTCAGTACAAAAGAAGACAATAAAATAGATGTAAACAGATACTTCATGAAGGAAGATACATGAATTGCCAAACAGCACATGAAAAGATGCTCAACCTCATTTGTCTTTAGAGAAATGGAAACTGAAACCACAATAGGCAAGAGGATAAATAAACTGTGGCCTGTCGATTCAGTGGAATACTAACTGTCAATGAAAAGGGCAACCCACTGATACATGCAACAGCATGAGCGAACCTCCAAAAAAGCCATGCTGACTCCAGGCACAAAATAAGTTCCCTTTACAGGAAATTCAGAACAGGTAAACTGCACATATATGAAAGCTGACCTCACACAACCAGACTGGAGAGGTGGGTGCCAGCGGCTAGGAGGCAAGGGAAAGGGGACAGGAGATGCTGGTCACAGGGTGCAAACGTTCAATAAGCAATGAACCAATGATGAGGAACCAATGCACAGCATGGTGATGACAATGGTACTGTACTGTATTCTTGAAATTTGCTAAGAGGGTACATCTTAGAAAATGGTAACTATGTAAAGTGATGTATATGTTAACTATTTCACAATTTCTATTGTTTATCAAATCATGTTCTATAATTTTTGTCAATCATAGGTCAATAAAACTGAAAAAAAAAATCAAGTTTTGAGACTGTAAGGGAAGAAAAGGCAAAAGTAACCCCAGTACTTGACTGGGGACAGTGGGAGAAAGATCGTTAATTGATAGACTAAGACAACGTTTGGGGTGACAGAAATCTTGATGGAGAAGTGATGATAAGTTCTTACAGATTCAAAACTCAAAACTCTATACTTAAAATAAATGGGTTTCATTGTATGTTTAAAAAGGAATGGGGGAAAAAAACCTTAAGAAGAGTTTTCTTTCTTCATGTCTTCAAAATTCCTCCATTAGAAAAAAATAATGTAGCCCTGGCTTGTGTGGCTCAATGGACTGAGCACTGGCCTTAGAGCCAAAGGGTCGCCAGTTCGATTCCCAGTCCAGGGCACATGCCTGGGTTGCAGGCCAGGTCCCCATTGAGGGGCATGCAGGAGGAGGCAACCACACATTGATGTTTACCTGACAGTTCCCACATTATTTCTCAGATGACCTCTAGAACACTAAATGTGAAGTATTCTCAGAAAAGATTTTGATGGACAACTAAATTCGGAAATGGTTCCTACCAGAGGTTCATAATCCTTACTAGTATACTAAAGGCTTTCTTTACCCGAATACCTATGAAAAAAGGTCTCACAGAATACAGTCAGGAAAATGCCAACTGTTCTAAGGATCTCACGTTAAACAATGTTCTGTGCTCCACAGCCCTAAAACAGGGTCAACCTGGAGTAAGTATCTGTTAATGTGAACATAACACTAGCATAGCTACACTTGGATAGGCAACAGGCATCTCAAATGTTCTAGGTCCAAAACTAAACTAATAATCCCTCGGTCTTATCCTACCAACACCATCTTCATCAAGCTAATAACATTATATCCTTCCAGTTGTTCAGGCTAAAAACTTTGATGTCATTCTTGATTCAACGCTTTCTAACATGCCGCAGACAGTCCATTAGCAAAACCTGCCAGCTTCACTTTAAAAAATATACTTAGAATAAGACCATGCTTCACCTTGGCCACTATGGCTACCTTGGCCCCACCCATTATCATCTCCCATGCGGACTAATGCAAGAGGCCAGAAATTGGCAAATTTTGCCTGCAATGAGCCACACAGGAAATGGCTTTTCTGGGCATAAGATCTGTGCTGCAGTTACTCAGCTCCTCCACGGGAACGCAGAGGCAGCCACAGACACTGTAAATGAATAAGCATGGCTGTGTGTCAGTAACATTCGTTAATGAACAATGGAATCTGAATTTCATATAAAGTGTTTTCCTTTAAAATATAAATTGTATGAATTTCTTAAAAAGCTTCTTTTAAAATCTATTTTTACCTTTTAATACTCAAAGACAAATAATTTTAAAACCAAAATGGTCATTAGAAGACATGTGATCCATTCTCATTGTGTAAATGAGAAAACAGACATAGAAGTTTGCTTACTTCCTCAAAGACAGACAGCTACCGTATTTTGCCATGTATAACGCGCACCCGCACTCTGGCACTGCACATGTATAGTGCACACTCAGTACCACCCATCTGTAATGCACATCCCTATTTTTCACTCAAAAACTTGGGCAAAACGTGTGCATTATAACACAGTAGATTTCTAACTGAATGTTCTTTTCCACGTTAATAATTTTTAGAACTAAAGTAGCTTACAGAATATTAGAATAATCTAATAGGTCGGTAAGAGTTTTAATTATTAGACAACTGCTCTACTTAATATACTAGGTGAAATCATTTGTTTAGTTATATGAGCTGAGTATTTTTAGTTACATACAACATAAAAAGGGCTGAAAGTTAAGTTACTTGTTCTGATCATGAGGCTAGCAGCCCATTATGCTTAGGAAAAAAATCCTTTTCCGTAAATTTTTTCAATATTGCACAACTAGTTTTAAAAAGGAGAAAAATTACATGGTTTAATAGTATACATTAACAGATTTTAGTTTATATTTAACTTGTTTGTTTGTATTCCTTGTAAGACCTATCAAACAGAATTTACATGGAATCATGTTCTTACAAGGAGTTAATTCTGTCGGCTAGATGGAAATTTTTATAATTTGCAAGTTTACTTACAGAACAGACCACCTGGGAAGTAGAGAACAGTAGACCTTCTCCCCATTTATGTAAATGTGAACAAATTTCTGTTAGACAGAATATTAATGGTATTGCTCGTTTTTTTCAATAGAAAGTTGGCGCCCACACTTCCATATATTTTACTAATACCAAAATTTCAATGTCTTAGAAAACCAATAATTTACTTTTATTTTCCGTTGGAAAAGACAATACTCTGGTAGGAGCTCAAGCACCATTTCTGAAGTCACGACGGGTTTCCGAAACCACGGAGAAGAGACAAAGGGGCGGGGACTGGCAGGCTAGACGGTGACAGTGGAAACGGGGGTGGGGGGTGAGAACACACAGGTGCCTGGCACACTAGTGAAAGCGCGCACTTCCCTTCTCTCTCCCTCTCTCTCTCTCTCTGTCAAGCCGTGGGAGAACTCACAAGGGGACAGGAGCCCCACCGGCAACTCAGCATGCTGCTGCCGACACGGCTCGGCCGACACAAACGTCGGGCACCGGCACCGGCTTCTGTGCACGCATCGCTGGCCCGTAAAAAAGGGACGCTTTCATCACTCTCCTTATGCTTTACCACGTAACAGAGTGACTCCAGAGTAACGCGACTTTGGAAAAAGTAGGCCGCTGAGTTCGGTCCCCTCACGAAAAATGAGCATGCTTTCCCACGGAAAGAGATGTAAGCAAACGTCTGTTTGTCTACTGTATTAAAGAAGTGAGAGATTATGGTTGTATTTTCAAAATAAAATTTCTAACCACTGAAACCAACCTGTTCACCGCAATAGCCGTGCAACAGTGGAGAGTCAGACCGCGCGGGGCCGGGGCCCAGGCCCAGGCTCCGGAGGCGACTACTTACTGCGGGCACCAGCAGCTTCTTCACCTCCTCCACGGCCCGCTTCAGCTTGATCTCCGCCCTGTTCTGGGCGTCCTCCACGGTGATCAGCACGTGCAGGTCCTCGTTGAGGTGCTCCCAGTTGGGCTTGCCTCTGTTCTGTTCCTCCTAGAAAATGGACAAAAATCACTATTACAAATTTTTCTTTTCAAAAAGAAAGCACATTTTTTACAATACTCATCTGTTGTCAATTATTTAAGCTATGTATTATTTTTCCATGATGACATCATAAATATTCTGAATTATTTTCCTGACAAAACAATCCGGCGGGTCACAGCTCACTCGACACGTGCGGGGGAAGCATGTGCTACACACCGAGCCTGCAGCCAGAGGCTCAGGACGGGACCGTGAGCAAGGCCACCCCGACCCGCTGTGCTCTTCTGTCCTGGGAAATTCATCTGCGGCGTCATCCTTAGGTCATCGTGAAAAGCAGGCTGTTACTTCTACATTTTACTGTAAGTAAATAGGAGGTCATCAGGGTTACCGGTAATTTAAGTGTGTCATTATCAAGGTCACATAGCTAATAAATTGCCAATTTAGGATCTCCATCGAAGTTATGGAAACTCAAATTCAGTGATCTTTTCATTTTGTTACAATTACTTTTTAATAATACTGGCTGAATTCAAGATTAAGTAAAGTATTTTATAAAAAGATATTATGTGAGAGAGCTGTCATCCGTTTTAAGCATTTCAAGTAGAATTTAAGGAACTATTTCATTATAATTGCAGTAAGAAAAACCACCTTTCCGTCATTAGCTCACTTTAAAAAGAGTGGACTGTAAGGTCAGTCTCTAACTGTATCCACCCGTAAGTACTAGTTTAACAGAGAAGGTCTACACCTCCTTCCGTGATGAGTTCAAGCACCCTCAGGAGGAACAGCTCAGGTGGGAAACACTGTCGGGTTACAAAGAGGCTAGGAAGTAGAGCTGGCCACGTGTCCCTTTCACCTAAGAGAGAAAAATGTCGGACCTGCCTCTTGAATTAAGTTTTAGGGATAATATACTTATAAATAACTTACAGTGTATAACTTTTAAATGTAATTTTAATATTAAACACAATGAGAATATACACTTATTTTAAGTATAAAATGGCATAATAAATGCACCTGTCTCAGCGCAAGGTACCATATAAGCAAGAGATAATATCGCTTGTAGGTCTGTATTTACTAGATTGTGAGGCTCTGATCCAACAGAACCATTGTATGGAACACGTTTCTACTACAACTTGCATGTTTGAGAGGCCATGCTAGAAAAATAAATCTATGTAGAGCTTAGCTAATAAAAATAGGAATAAGTTGTCACTTCTGCCTTTATTTCTGTTCCGATCACCACTATGAAGGTGCATCTGCGTGTTGTGCGGGGAAGTGAGAAACGAGGCGAAGCACCCATCCATGGCAGGCCACGCGTGTGCTTCCAAAGCGTGAACTCAGAGTCAGCACAGTGTGCTCACAGGCGTGAGATGGGGTTTCTTAAAATTCCAAGGGCAACAGCAACAGTTGACACCCCAGAACGAAGGTCGAGAGCATGCACATAAACACAAACGCCCGCCGCACAGGCCGCAGGCACCCTGTCTGGCACCGAGTCAGAAATACACGGGCAGGCCAAGAGGCACCAAAACGTAACATATGAGAAAAATACTAACCCTAACCAACCTAGAACGGACACAGGTGTTACAGTTCACTGAAAATGACACTAAAGTCTAGTGTGTGTGCGCATCTGTCTGAGAGAGAAACACTAATGCATAAAGACACGGATACAAAAAGAACTGAGAAATGTTTGTAATCCAGAATCTTTTAGGAAGGCCTAAGAATGAAAACTAAGATTGTAAGTGACTCACCACAGAAACCTGTATACACTGAGGAGACAAAACCAGATTTTAGAAGGGAAGGATGTTCGCTTGCACGACAGAAACACAGAACAGGTGGCAGTGTACAACTCTACTTTACGCTTTATCAAAGGGGTAGATTTGTGAGTTGCAAAATGCCTTGGTAAATTTATGCTCAATTCCACAACTTAAGTGTCAGTTAAAAATACAAAAATAAAGACAGCTATACTTATTCTAATACTTGTTACACAATAAAGTTTTGCTTAGTTTTAAAACTGTTGAAAGAAAAACTTAACAAAGTTGGTGAAATTATAATTCAACTGTGTTCCTTCACTCCCATCTAACATTCTTAAAAAATACCAGGTCTGTCCAGAAGGTATCCAGCCACGTACTACGAAAATAGAGACATTTATTGAAGAAGATATGATACAAACAACACTGTACACAGGACAATGGCACCTCAGCCCCCTTCAAAGGAGGCACCTTGGGACCTCACACAGTTCTCCCAATCGCCATCAGCTGCCCTGTCGTAGCTTCCTGAATCTCATCAATGGTGTAAAATCGCTTCCCTTTCGAAAGTGATTTTAGTTTTGGGAAAAGCCAGAAGTCACAGGGCACCAAATCTGGGCTGTAGGGGGGCTGAGTCACCTGGGTGATTTGATGTTTCACAAAAAAACTCTGCACGAGATGTGATGCCTGAGTGGGCACACTGTCGTCACGAAGCTGCCATTCACCAGTTGCCCGTAGGTACGGCCTTCTGAATCATCCGAATAGTTTCCACAGAAGAATGTTCAAGCTTAACACAAAATTTGATGCAGATTTGTTGCTCTATTCACTTACTCATTTTGAATGAGATGGCCACACAGTACACACGCTCACTCAGCAGCATCTACTGCCTCCACTGACTAGTACAGTGAAGTCGTCATTGTTCACGCATGAGCACTCCAGTCCGCTCCCCTTGGCTGCCAGCTTACATCGCTGTCGCACAAACCTTTCTCGTTTTATTAACAATGGCTGGACTCTTCCTAGACGGACTTCATATAGTAGAGTTCAAAATGTACAAATTCAGAATGAGAAACCATTTAGAAATTAGAAAGCAGATAGCTAAGTTAAGGAGGGCCTTAGCCCAACCCAAGCGAGAAGGAACCAATTTACACTGCAGATAGATCCTCCCGCCCCCCGCCCAGAAAGGCAGGAAAAAAACGGCAGCACGAGGCAAGGAGGCGGGGAAGGCTGAGGCTGAAACTCCGACACTGAATTCCCACTCAAGAGCAGCTGAGTCTCCGCAGCCCTGCCCCCAAAGAGCTGGCTCTCTAGCACCCCCTCCCTCTTGGCAAGACTAGAAATGTACTGCTAAAGAGCTGCACTGCCTGGGGCAGCTGACGGGGCCCCTCACCCGCTGGAGTGCGAGGCGTCCAGTGTCCCCCGTCACTCTGCACCCACGGCAGGGACCGCCAGCCCCTCACTGGGGGCAGGCAACTGGCAGGCCTTGCTGTGGGGAGTCTAACCAGCCCAACAAACAAAAGAACCAAAGCAACCCCCGAGCAGGAAAGAACTAAAAAATCTGCAGAGTTAGGAGAAGATACTGCATCCTTAAAACTAGTAGAAAATGCTCTTAAAAGAAGTAAGAACACATTGGGTTGGTCAAAAAATGTGGTTTTAAGTAAAGATAAAACACAGTTTCATCAGTAACTGCCGAACAACGCGTTCTCCGTTTTGTGCCGCACCTGCTCCCATCTTTCGGGCAACCTCACTCGTCCATCTCCCCCAAACTTTAGCTTTTTGAGCAAAGAACTGTTCCAGGTGCCTTTTGCAATCTTCCAGGGAACTGAAATTTTTTCCATGAAGAAAATTTCATAAAAACCCAAATAAAGGGAAATCTGAAGGTACGATGTCTGGAGGATACGGCAGAGGAACCGGAGCCTCCCAGCCAGGCTGTAACAGTTTTTGCCCGGTCATCGAAGAGACACGCGGTCTTGCAAGATCCTGACGGGAGATCACGTGTTTTCTGTCAACTAATTTCAGACATCCTTCACGGAATGCTGCTTCCAGTTGGTCTAACCGAGAGCATTACCTGCTGGAATTACTCATCTGGTTTTACGGAGGGAGCACATAAGAGGGGATTCCCTTCCAATCCCACCATGTACCTCACCTGTTCTGTGCCAGGCCCGGCCTTTGGTGTGGCTGGAGGTTCATATTGCTTGCCGCCTCACCATCTCTTTCCTTCCACATAGTTGTAAAGTATCCATTTTTCATCATCGGTTACAACTTGTTTTTAAAATGGAATGTTTTTGTTAAAGTTACATTTCAGTAGAGAACTGCATGCTGAAATAAGGTCAAGAAGGTGGATGGCCCCTCTCCCCACCTCCTGGCTTAACTTATGCGGAACCCAAACATCAAAGCCATTAATATAACTAAGCGGGTGCAAGTGATTTCCAAAGCTTGATTTCGATATTCTGAGTATGTCAGCTATCTCTAGCGTGGCATAATGTTGACTGTTTTCAACTAATGTCTCAATTTGATCGCTATCTGCTGGTTGGTCTACCTGACCGTGGAGCGCTGTCCAGTGAGAAATCTCTAGCACAAAACTTCGCAAAACCACTTTTGACACGTTCCTTCAGTCATTGCACCTTCTCCATGGAGTGCACAAACCATTTTTTTGTGTGTGTTTCAGTTGTGTTTTTACCTTTCTTGAAATAATAAAGCATAATATGCCGAAAATGTCACTTATTTCCTTACATCTTCAATATTAAAATGTTTACACAAAAATTCACCAATTTGGTAAGTTTTTTTTAAACACATGCTAATATGACAGCTGTCATGATACAATCTTAACAGAACTGTTTTGAATGAAGTTAAAGACAACTAAGCACTACTAGAGACATCCTATGGAAAAAACCAAAAACTTTTTGGCCAACCCAAAACATAAGAAAGAATGACACTAAAAATATGATAATAGAAATGAAAAGTGGATAGAGTAGTTAGAGGATAAAACTTCAGGAATTCTCTCTCCAACTAGAAGCAAGGACAACAGACAGAAAATGACAGAATAGTATAAAAATTATAGGTCTTGTCCAAGAGGTTCAGAAACTGAATGACAGATGTCTCACCAAGAAAAGGGAAGGAGAGAGAAAAATCATTAGCAGAATACATACTTTTAAAATAAAATGGAACTGTAAGAGTTTCGAATGAAAAGGGCATACTGAGTTCTTACCACAGCTGAATAAATGAGATGAAAAAAGACTCAACTGGAGCACGACAAGCGCACAGTGTAGTAACAAAGAA